GGGAGGGGGGGCGGTGCGAGGCTCCGTCGGGCCTTCCCACCATCGGGAGGCCACTCTCGGCCGTCATTCCCCAACTCCTGTTACTATTGATGATGAGGACGATGACAATGATGATGGCGGCAACGCAATCATATTTTAGGCACCGGCTGTGCGCCAGGCACTAGGCTTGCCGAGCAACTGGCTGGGCAGGCACCGTCTCCCTCACTCCTCACCCCGACGCCGTCGGGTGGATATTACCACTGGCCCCATTTTGCAGATGGGAAAGTAGGTTAAGCCGCTCTACCAAGGTCACCCGGGTAAAAGGACTTGGATTTGAATCCAATTCCATTCAACTCCAGCCCAGGTCCACTGCAGTCCCCTGCCTCAGTCTTGGTGGCGACTATCTGACCCCATCAGCAACGTCTGGACAGACCAACTACGCGCCCCAGAATGAAGGCAAACCCCATCAAGTACCCTCACGGTCCAGCCCCTCCACCAGCTCCCACTAATGGCGCACCCCAAGAGCAAGGGCCCCCCCTTCAGAGAAGCCTCACCTGTCCCTCACAGCCTCTCCAAAGAATGTCCCGGAACACGAAAGGCGAGTGTGGTGCCGGTCGGGACCCTCGGTTCCCCCACACTCGGAATCAGTGGGTGGGGCCCCAAAGAGACCCCCTCTGCAAGAAACCCACCCCACACCTGCCCCTGTCCGGAGATCCTCAAACACCGTCAAGAGCAAACCCCAGTTCTCGCCTAGAGAGAACCACCATCAGCGGGAACCCCAACCCGGTTATCGCGAGCGCCCCCAAACCCTGGCCACACCTGCAGCCGCTGAGAGTCCCAGGGAGGGTGACGTCCTCTTCCAAAACCGAGTCCATCACGGACACAGAGGACGTGGTGGCATTGGGGTCTGTGGTGGCGGCACCACTGGTACCCCTGCGGTCGCGACCTGCCCGGCTCTCCAGGTCCCCGCCCCCTCCAATCCCGCTCTTGTTCGGACTCAGGCGGCGCCGCCGCTGGAATTCAAACCACAGCCGCCGCCATCTTTCCCGGCGCTTTTCCTACGGAAGCGAGGCGGAGTCAAGGACGCGCGTGCGGTGAAGCCGACCGGCCTGGACCCGAAGCCGGGCAAGGGAAGCGCGGGCGGGCCGCCATCTTAACTAAGGGCAGGACGTCCGCACTTGAGCCAGCAAAACTAAGGAAGGAATGTCAAGCAGCCATATTTGGTGAGGGCAGTCAGGCCGAGGCCAGGGCAGGCGCCATCTTTGTTGAGGGCTAAAGTCGGCCTTGGTCCGTTACTTTAAGCGGGAGTCGGGGATTCCGGCCCTTCAGGAATCCTCAGGGTTCCTAACCTGCTGTGTGCTTTTCTAGAATAATGACCACGAACCTGACAGTCCGTTCCTCCAAAAGGCATTTTTCCGCCTTGACTTGAAACTCATCAGATAATCCGAATCTGCCTCCCTTTGGAAAAATCCTACCTGTAGAATCCCAACTCAAGTAGTAATTTGTACAATTAATTTGAAACAAACTCATTCCTATGAGCCAAGTGGTCAGCAACACTTACTCTCCAATCTCTCCTAGGGATCCTTTATTACCTTCAGGGCTCAAGCGCACTTGAGATCAGTAAACTGAGGCCCAGAGAGACAAAACGACTCCCAAAGCCGTGCGCCATGGCCGGGGCCGGGGCCGGGGCCACGCCCGGGGCGCCAGCATCCGGGC